AATCTTCAACTTGTTCGCTAATTTTTTACAGCAAATGTTTAAAGATCCTTATATAGTTTGACAATAGAATCAACTTCTATTTTAAAATTCGATTCCATTAAATTATTTCGACATCATCTATTCCGTTTCGCCACCACATAATTCGGTACTACACTTCCATGTAACCCTCCATCAATTTCAATTCTCAAGAAATCAAGTCAATTAAATAAATTGGTATTAATATTCGAATTCAAAAATCTATATATATAAATGTAAGTTGTGTTAGTTACTACGCTTATAACTTAAGAACCGCTGGATTAATTTTAACGATTCACACAAATTCGGAGTTGTCTACTCTACGAAAAGGATAATATCCAAAAAAATCGCGTAAAAATGTGATATATTAACATTTTCATTTTGACTTTTCAAATGTACAATAGTAATGTTTTATTTTGCATGATTTTTTTCCATTTTGACTTACTTTTTTCTAATGTACATTTGTAGTGTTTTTTATATTTTATTTTTGAATTCGAATATTTATACCAATTTATTTAATTGACTTGATTTCTTGAGAACTGAAATTGATGGCGGGTTACATGGAAGTGTAGTAGCGAATTATGTGGTGGCGAAACGGAATAGATGATATCGAAATAATTTAACGCGGTCACACCAAAGTTAAAAGATAATTACTTTTTCTAAATCGCTGAAAAATCATGAAAAAGAGATCTCATTGCAAAAATCAAAAAAAAAAAAACATTTTCAATGGAATCGAATTTTAAAGTAATAGTACATTCTATTGACAAACTTTGTAAGGAAGGATCTTAAAACATTTGCTGTAAAAAATCAGCGAAAAAGTTGAAGACTTTTTCAATTTGTTATTCTTTTTTTTTGTCAATTTTTTTTGTGAACAAAATAAAGAATAATTTTTCACTAAAAAAATTGAATAAGTGCGAAATAGGATGTTAACTGACATCTACCTTTCAACTCCAGGGCCTACATCGTGGGTTAGCTGGAAGATGCGAACACGTTTAAACAAACAAAAATGACCGAAAAAGCTTAATGGGGCTCATTTCAAAGCGTGACAATGATCCGTCCAATGAGAGCTCAAAATGCAAAATTCTTTGGGAGAATAATAAGTAATATACCAATATTGAAATAAAAGGTGCAAAATAGTAGAGCGAATGGGACTTTTAGTAAGAAAAGGTTTTATATCCTTCCAGAAATTCTTCCCAAACATTCAAAATACCTAAAATCACTTTTGCAGGTCTTTATATCGATCATAACTCATGGATAAGGGAACAACCCGATTTCATATTTATATAACCATCTATGATTTAAGTTATTTTTGGGGTCTTGGCCGGTCACTTTTTTCATTTTTTGGCCCTTATTTGACATTTTTGTTTCTAAGGGGGTAGATAACCTCTTCGCATAAAATTTGAAATTTTCAGAGTAGGGCCCATATTGGTATTGACCACATTCATCAATTGATTTGGCTAAAAAAATTTATTTATGCCACCCTGGGGTAGGGAACCATCATACAGATAATTGCCACATAGGAATTTATTTAAGTAAAGTCCCCACATTGGAGTATCCCCAAGTCCACTTTCACATCTAATGTGTGGTCAGAAAAGAAAATTTTGTATTCTATTGAATTTTTAACCCCCAAGAGAATATTGGTTGGGAACGTAGATTTGGGATGTGCATCCATATGAAATAAATTGTGGAAACATGAACAAATTACAAATATAAGAAAGTAGCACGGGACCGAATATTTGTTTAATTATCATTGAATTATCCTATGATGAAAATATGGACTTTAAGGGGTCTCCAACTTACAATTTAAATGGCAAATAAAATTAATTCCCATCTTATCATTCTGCCCTCAATTATGAGGTGGATAAAACTATTTTTACTTATTTAAATCACGCGAAATGCTATGACATGCTATATTGTTCTGCTATATTTTTGATTTGGCCTCTATTTGTCATCTTGGATTATAAGGGGTAGAAGAAAGTTTTCAATGTAGGTCGATGTTTCGGAGTAGTGCCCATATAAAGAAGGTACCTCCTAATTTAACCACATTTCAAAGAATTTGGCTAATAATGCGTATTAGGGGGGTGAAAATCTTACACTAAAATTTCAACATATCTACAAATTTTAGAATTTTTATCCATGTTATAATACCCTCTCAAGTCCACCTTTTGGCGGACAAACAGACTGACATGGTTAGGGGGACTTATGAGGACTGTAATGCACAATCTAAGTTGCTAATGGGTTTAAAAAGTAATTAACTTTGGCTATTCTTAAATCATTCAGCCCTCAATTATGTAGTATACAAAATACAGCAAATTCCAAATTACTGCTCATTTGACTGGAAGATTTTGCTACGATTTTTACCATATTAAAAATTAATTTGATCCCTTATATGGCGATAAGATTGATATATACTTTTTAATATATTTGTATAGCACATCCACACAGTTGAAGCCCACGGTTTAAATATTGAAGCCCACTGGTTAAAAATGGGTACAGGTATTTTAAAACACTTTAAATCGACCTGTACGTGAACACTTATATCAGTCATATCTGTGAATAATTATGCTTGGGAATATATGCATAATAGACAAAAACTACGGGCCGGCAACGCGGACCGGGCCAGCTAGTAAAATATAAAAAACACTACAAATGTACATTAGAAAAAAGTAAGTCGAAATGGAAAAAAAACATGCAAAATAAAACATTACTATTGTACATTTCAAAAGTCAAAATAAAAATGTTAATATATCACATTTTTACACGATTTTTTTGGATATTATCCTTTTCGGATAGGAGACAATTCCGAATTTGTATGAATCATTAAAATCAGTTCAGCGGTTCTTAAGTTATAAGCGTAGTAACTAACACAACTTTCTTTTATATATATAGATAAGATAGATATAGATTAAAAAGTACTGACAACGACAGTTCCTCAGCCCCAAATAAATACTTAAAGGGGGATGGAAAGTCAACAGTATCTCGTGCAATAATTTTCAAACCGATATCTCCTCTATATTGGCAAATATAAAGATTTTAGATAAATCAAAATTGTGGGCGCAAAAGTGGGCGTGGTCTATATTTTTTTCTTTAAAAACCTAACTGGGGGTATGACGAAAGTTTTTACAAAAAAAATTATGCAAATCGGTCCAGCCGTTTTCAACTGATTCCGTTACCAACAAACAACAATTGATTTCTATATATACTAGCTGAACCCGGTGCGCATCGCTACCCCTTTTGATTTTATATGCATTCAAAATTTTATTTACGAATATATGTTGGTTGAAAAAAAATATATATATGGGAGCTATATCCAAATCTGAACCGATTTTAATATAATTTGACTAATTTATTTTCTAATCAAAATCCCGTTACATATTCTATATTTCTTTGGAATCGAACATACATATCGTGTATGGTGCATAAAATACATGAAATCGGTCGAAAATATATATGAGAGCTATATCCAAATCTGAGCCGATTTTAATATAATTTGACATATGTATATTTGTTTTAATTTCCGCTACACATTCCAAATTTCATTGAAATTAGAGATACATAGCGTGTTTGGTGCATCAAATACATGAAATCGGTCGAAAATATATATGGGAGCTATATCCAAATCTGAACCGATTTCAATTTAATTTGACAAATTCATTTTGGCTCCCAATTCCGTTACTTATTTTAAATTTCATTACAATTGGAAATACATATCGTGTTTGGTCCAACAAATATATGAAATCGACCGAAAATGTATATGGGAGCTATATCCAAATCTGAACCGATTTCAATATAATTTGGGAAATCAATTTTTTAGATAAAATCTATCACACGTTTCAAATTTCATTGAAAATGAGGAAACATAGCGTGTTTGGTGCATCAAATGCTTTAATCGGCCGAAAATATATATGGGAGCTATATCCAAATCTGAACCGATTTCAATATAATTTGACAAATTTAATATAATTGACAAATTTCAATATAATTTGACAAATCCCGTCACACATTCCAAATTTCATTGGAATCGAACATTCATATTGTGTTTGAGGCCTCAAATGAACGAAATCGGTCGAAAATATATATGGGAGCTATATCCAAATCTGAACCGATTACAATATAATTTGGCAAACTTATTTTTGTTCCAAATTCCGTTACGAATTCCAAATTTGGAGACTGTATCTTCAACCAATCAATAGATATGTGCATATAAAATCTAAATTTTTGGGGGGTACCTCCGATTCTGCTGCTATATTTCCAGTTCCAAGTGGAAAATCAAAAATATATATAGCCTATGTTAGTTTCAGGCGATGTTGCAGTATATATGGAAATTTTCAGGAAAATCTATTCAGCGGTTTTCGAGTCCATAAATTACAAACAAACAAACATTTTCCTCTTTTATAGATATAGAAGAAGAATAGATATTTCCTTATTAAATATTCTTAACACTTAATGGTAAAAAAATTTAAATAAATGTTGACTCTTATTTCTATAAATTGGAAGGGAAGGTCTGAGATGTGATTTTTGTTTTATTTTAATGCTTTATAGTTATAGCAAATTATTAATCTTACCTAATGAAGTGTTTCCCGCTTCGCAGCTTGTGTGATTTTTAATAAAAAGGAAATTAGCAATAAAATACAAATATGAGCAACAAAAGAAAGGTCGATTTGATGTGATCCCCGGAATCCTTTAAACGTGTTGCTAATGGCGTTTGTCTAAAAATGTTGGAAATAGTCTTTTATTTTCTTATTACATATTAATATTTACGTTTTTCACATTTTTTAAAGTTGTTCTCCAAAAACAATTAGTCTTCCTAATTCCAAAAAAATATTTTCAAATTGAAAGCACAAAAAGAAATAAACAAAAAAACATCTGATGAATGAGAAGAAGAAGAGTTGCAAGTGATTGCTCATATGATATTAAAAAAAAGCTTGGATATTTTCAAGAATGAATAAAAAACTTATGTGTGTATATTTTTGACATATTTTCAGATACTCTCTGTCTGATGGAACAAAGCAAGATGAAGCTGGGGAATTAAAGGATGTTCAAGGAGAAGAAGGCCCAGTCCAAGCAGTTGTGAAAACTGGTTCCTACGAGTTTACAGATCCAGAAGGAAAACTACACAGAGTGACGTATACGGCCGATGAGAATGGATTTCATCCCGTTGTCGAGAGTTAAACTCTCAAAGCATATAAATTTTACAATAAGTTTTATCGATGTGTGAAATAATTTTGTAGTTTCTCTTCCATACATGCATAAATATATGTATATGCAAAATATATATTCGCAATGAGTACTTATAGGTAAAGTTTAAAAGTGAAAAAAAACATTTACCTTCTTTAACACTATGGGCTGTCAGACAAGCTCTTACGCATGAAATGCGCCAACGCTTTCTAATAAATAATTCTTGAATTTATGTTTAATTGCTAAAACAATTATTGAAAACATTTAGTTATTTGTCAAATTCGTTTGATCCTTTGTAAGAAGGCGAGAAAATAAACACGACCGCTTCGTTAGTGTGTAAATTCAATTCTAGATTCTACTCGAAGGTTCACTGTAGAAAGTGAGAAAATAACACGACAGATTTTATTAAATGAAAGAAAAAAAATGTCGGAAATAGCATTAAGTTAAGATGTGTTCGAATTGATCACCTTTGGCACTTTGGTATTTTTAGTGCCAACCTTGCTTTCCAAAATACTCCAAACAAAATAGTCTTACGGATTGGTATCCGGAGATTTTGGTGGCCATTGTGCGCTGGAAATGAAACGAGGAACCTCATTTTGTAACCATTCTAGGGTGGCGCGTGCTGAGTGCGATGGTGCTGAGTCCTATTGGAATGTCCAAGGTCTGCGGCCAAAATATTTTGCCATAATATTCGGCATTTATTCTGATGCCACGGTCAATAAATTCGAGCGGAGAGCGACCATCAGCTGTTATGGCAGCCCACACCATGACCATGGCCGGCGCTTGAGTTCTGGTGGCCAACCGAAGGTGCAAGTTTCAGCTGAACTCTTTGGCAAGTAAACTAATGATCGTGTTTACTTGACAAAGAGTTCAGCTGACCACAAGGTGGTCAGGATATTATGTCTTTGTGCATGTGTTTGTAACAGGCAGAAGAAAACGAGATAGACCCATAGTTCCTTTTGATGATCTGCATAGAATCACATTCTGAATCGATTTATGCATGTCCGTCCGTCCGTCTGTCTGTCCATTTATTTTTGTAAACAAAGTACAGTTCGCATTTATTGCCCTATCCAGATGAAATTTTGCACAAATCATTTGTTTGGCCCAAGGACGAACCCTATTGAAATTGGAGATAATCGGTCAAAATTTAGATATAGCTGGCATATATACCTTCGTCCGATTTGCCTTTTATTGTGCACCAAACGTGTAATATCAGCCCGAATAGAATGGAATACAACCAAATTAGGCCTGAAAATAAGTATGCCAAGTTTTATCGAAATCGGTTCAGATATAGCTATAGCTTCCATATATATTGTTCATCCGATTTGTTATTTTTGTCCTCCGCAGCCGTAATATGCACTCTGTAACAACAATATTTGGGGAAATATATCAAATGCAGCTCAGAAATACCTTTGCTAAATTTTATCGAGATCGGTTCAGATTTGGATATAGATCCCATATATAACTTCGTCCGATTTACCATTTATTGTGCACCAAACGTCTAATACCGCGTTGCCGGTCTGTAGTTTTAGTCTTTAATGCATAGTTTTTAAAGCATAATAATTCACAGATCTGGCCCATATAAGTGGCATCATTTTTAGTGTAAATGATGACTCGACTAAATAGAAGTAATTATGCATTTCAAAAATGTCGATTTATAGTGTTTCAAAAAACCTGATCTTATTTTTCAGCCAGAGGTTTTAATTTGAGATTTGGAAAGCCAAATAATATAGCACATATATTAAACAGTATACATCAACTGTTTATAATAGTCCCATGTAAGATGGTTCTCTACCAAAGTAGCCTAAGCACACTTTTTAAGCCAAATCAATTCGAAAATATTTATAATCAAACCCCTAGAAATAGGTAAAATCAGGAGATAAATTTATATGGGCGGTACTCCAAAGCATTGACATTGAAAATTTTTCCCGAAGAGGTCTTCTATCCCTTAGAAACCAAGAAGCCAAATAAGGGCAAAATCAATTGAAATTGTGACCAAGGCCCTGTAAATAGTTGAAATTAGCGGATGCCATAATGGCATCATATAATGGTTATACCAAAGCTTGGTCCTATACTTATATTTATTTGAAAGAATGTTTTGTTCTTTCTAAAATCTCGAATTACCAACATTAAGGGAATACATATTTTGTACAAATGATTCTTCATGTAGCCCATAGGACTGCATCAAATTCATAACTCTATCTTAACTTTTGCGGAGTATAAAGGAAACTATTTGAGGTCCTTCGTGTATGGTTATGCTATATAAAATGGACCCTTTTGGGATTTTTATCTACCAACCGAAAATTTTCCCAACCTCATAGTCCCCGTATGACGTTACCTGTGATTTAAGGTTACGGGTTCGTTTAAGGGTTCGGAAGATAGTACACATATTACATTGCCTCTTCAATTTGAATTGAATGAATTTTGCATTGGATGGATTATTTCCATATCTATGGGTATGACGAACGTTTGTACAAAAAATTATGCAAATCGGTCCATCAGTTGAGAACTGATTCCATTACCAACGAACAACAATTGACTTTCATATATATATATAGATTATGGTTATAATTATAGCGTGTACGTTGAATTCTCCCATCAAAACCTTTTGGGATTTTTATCTACCAACCGAAAATTTTCCCAACCTCATAGTCCCCGTATGACGTTACCTGTGATTTAAGGTTACGGGTTCGTTTAAGGGTTCGGAAGATAGTACACATATTACATTGCCTCTTCAATTTGAATTGAATGAATTTTGCATTGGATGGATTATTTCCATATCTATGGGTATGACGAACGTTTGTACAAAAAATTATGCAAATCGGTCCATCAGTTGAGAACTGATTCCATTACCAACGAACAACAATTGACTTTTATATATATATATAGATTATGGTTATAATTATAATTATAGCGTGTACGTTGAATTCTCCCATCAAAACGTTAAATTGTTATGCGGAGCTCTAAAGTGGTGTAGACTTTCTTTACTGTTTTTTTTTTTTTTTTTTTTGTTTACAAACTGTTAGACAACGAATGTTTTCTCGTCGGAGTAAACCAAATTCGGCACTTCACTACTTTTGGCCAAGCGAAGAAACTCTTTAGCTCTTTTGAGTCTATTCCATATTTGCCAAATGGAATATTGCGATATGTTCAGCTCACGAGCCATTTTTCAGCCACTGTGACGTGGGTTTCGATCAAGTCGCTTCTTTATTTTCGAACCATTTCTGCTGATGTTGCTGTGCTCCCGTTCACTTCCTTGACTTCGGGCTACGCTACCAGCATCACGGTTACGAGCAATGGTGCGAGACACAAAAGATTTATTCAAATTTAAATTGTGGATTTCTCTAACGATAGCCACTTGTGGCTTTCCAGACAAGAAAGAAATCACACTATCACGCTTGAATTCCATCTCGAATAACTTTTTTTCTGGAAAATTCTCACCAAAGATGACTGCATTCCATGATACATATTTGAAGATATATTTTTGTACAAAATTATTTTTTGTGTGTTCTTTTTGTTTTGTTTTTTCTCTTTGCTTCTGTTTATTATTCGTCATACCACATTGTTTGGTTTTCACAGATGAATAGTTTTTGTTTGACGAAAAAGTGGTTTGGCAACACTTTGTTAACAATTCAATTGAGAAACCATTAAAAACCAAAAAAAAAATGGAAAAATGGAAATGGATATATCTATATCTATAAAAGAGGAAAATGTTTGTATTTTTGTTTGTTTGTTTGTTTGTAATTTATGGACTCGAAAACCGCTGAATAGATTTTCCTGAAAATTTCCATATATACTGCAACATCGCCTGAAAATAACATAGGCTATATACATTTTTGATTTTCCACTTGGAACTGGAAATATAGCAGCAGAATCGGAGGTACCTCCCAAAAATTTAGATTTTATATGCACATATCTATTGATTGGTTGAAGATACAGTCTCCAAATTTGGAATACGTAACGGAATTTGGAACAAAAATAAGTTTGCCAAATTATATTGTAATCGGTTCAGATTTGGATATAGCTCCCATATATATTTTCGACCGATTTCGTTCATTTGATGCCTCAAACACAATATGAATGTTCGATTCCAATGAAATTTGGAATGTGTGACGGGATTTGATCCGAAAATAAATTTGTCAAATTATATTGAAATCGGTTCAGATTTCGATATAGCTCCCATATATATTTTCGGCCGATTAAAGCATTTGATGCACCAACCACGCTATGTTTCCTCAATTTCAATGAAATTTGAAACGTGTGATAGATTTTATCTAAAAAATCGATTTCCCAAATTATATTGAAATCGGTTCAGATTTGGATATAGCTCCCATATACATTTTAGGCCGATTTCATATATTTGGTGGACCAAACACGATATGTATTTCCAATTGTAATGAAATTTAAAATAAGTAACGGAATTGGGAGCCACAATGAATTTGTCAAATTAAATTGAAATCGGTTCAGATTTGGATATAGCTCCCATATATATTTTCGACCGATTTCATGTATTTGATGCACCAAACACGCTATGTATCTCTAATTTCAATGAAATTTGGAATGTGTATCGGAAATTAAAACGAATATACATATGTCAAATTATATTAAAATCGGTTCAGATTTGGATATAGCTCTCATATATATTTTCGACCGATTTCATGTATTTTATGCACCATACACGATATGTATGTTCGATTCCAAAGAAATTTAGAATATGTAACGGGATTTTGATTAGAAAATAAATTAGTGAAATTATATTAAAATCGGTTCAGATTTGGATATAGCTCCCATATATATTTTCCGCCGATTTCACATATTTGATGCACAAAACACGATACGTATTTCCGATTCCAATGAAATTCGGCATGAGTCGCTAAATTTGGTACAAAAATAAATTTGACAAATTATATACAAATAGGCTCAGATTTGATTATAGCTCCCATATATATACTCAGCCGATTTCACATATTTGATGCACCCAAAGCGAGAGAGACAAAATCTGGCACCAAAAAAAATTGCCAAATTATATTGAAATAAGTTGAGGTTTGGGTATAGCTAACATATATATTTCGGCCGATTTCATACATGTTATGCACC